GATATGGATCGGAAATCCTGGTCTGGTTACGTTTTTACGGCTCAAGATGGAGCTGCATGCTGGCGGTAGAGCATAAAACAGCGGACAATAGCGCTTTCAACAGCTGAAGCGGAATAGGTGGCCCTATCAGAAACAACGAGGGAGGCAGTATTCATTAGAAGACTTATAGCAGAGATCACCTGCACTGAGGAACAGTGCATCACCATCTTCAGTGATAATCAATTTGCTATAGCCATTACAGAGTACCCTGTGCACCACAAGCGCACTAAGACATTACCTTACCTATGAGCCATTCCGCGTACAGTCCCGACCTGGCACCTTGTGACTTTTATTTAATTCCAAAAATTAAGAATCACTTACGCGGTTACGATTTTCATCACCTGAAGAGGCCGTCGAAGAGTATGAAAAATATGTTTAAGAAATTGTCATGGAGGAGTGGCATAAATGTTTTCAAAATGATCCATGCGTATGAAAAAGTACATTAACGCTAACGGAGAATATTTTGAGAAACAATAAATTCTGACCATTTACTACTGTAACTGTTTTTCTTACTCATTTCGGAAACTTATAGTGCGCCACACGTATTAATAATTATATAATTATTCTACCTAATAATAAAATATTTCTTGATTTGTTATTGACTTACAATTGTGTTATGTTTGTTTTCTTTAATATGATCGCATTTATTTTATTACTTTTATAATGAATAGGGCAAAAGGAGGCACATTAGAACATTTTTTGCATATTTGGTTATAAAATATATATTTTACAGGATATGTCACAGAGAGTGTACGATGGAATTACACGATTTAATTCCGCCTTCCTCTTTCCATCACCGGGGAACTAGGCGTAGGCTTGGGTTCCACCCCTATGTTGTGGATATTCCAAAAATTCGCACGAAGCGTTATGCTTTCCACATTTATATGGCGAACGGCTATGGAGTGGAAATCCCTGCCTGCAGACTTGTTGAACCCCTGAACGTTATAACTTGGGCCTTTTCAAGACGAGAGTGTATAGGCATTATTTAGGTGTGTATGATCCATCGTCGACCTCATCGTCACTTTCCATCAGGTAAAATTGAGGACAGATGTGCACTTACAATTTATAAAAAAATAGAACTAAATCGTTATTAATTATTTGTTTTATTTGTTGCAGTAGTTAGACCTATTATATGGCTATTGTCATTTATAATAAGCGCGATAAAAAAGTTTATAATTGTGTCAGAATTCCCATTTATATGAAGGGACTCAAATGTTCAAAGCTGCCTCATGCCTGGGGCATCCTTGAATTCATGAATTTAAACGAAAATTACTTATTTATTGCAAAATTTTAAAAATTTGGAGATTGATGTTGCTCGCTTCCGTAGGTTTACCCTCGAGACCTACATGTGACCCCTGGGTGCTAAAGAGCAACAACTATCGGTGGTAGGCTTCGGCCGTGCCTGGTAACCATCCTCCCGACGTAGTTGAGTCGCCAAATGCTTAATCCGTGTTCCGGCTCTTGTTCGGGAGTTGGTAGGAGGTCGGGTTTGATCAGTTGCATTGCGTCTAACGACAAGTAGTAGCTGCTTGTACTGCCACAATGAGCACTCTGTTCTGGAGGCTAGCGGGATCTGACGCATGGTGCACCGCTGGCTGACCGTGGTAAGTTGGGGGGCCAAGTATCGGGAAAGGCTACCCCGCCACCTAACAAAAATCCCGGAATGCTCCACCTTGCCGGTTGGCGACCGGAGGGAAGGACGAGGTGGCCATCTCCGGGGGATTCGGGCATTGTGGTTGTGTGAGCTTGCTGCTTGGTTGGACATGACTTAATGCCTCGTTCAACTACTGTCCTCCCGCACATTCGCTTTCCCAATTTAAATCATGAAACACAAGAAAAGGACAAAATTCACACAGCGGTTGCACGTCCTCCCACGAAAAGTGCACCTCACCAACATCCGAGGTCTGCACTCAAATCTCGATTCGCCACCATCTCTCATCGATCTCCACCATCATCTTGAAACTAAAAAACCGCAGCTGCTGTTCCTCACCGAGACGCAGATCAGATGTCCGACTGACACGGCGTACCTCAGCTACCCCGGGTATACTCTGGAGCACAAGTTTCTACCTCGTGCCGGAGTCTGTTTATATGTTCGTAATGACATCTACGTCAAGTGTCTCAAGAACATTGAGGCACCGAGATTTTCTGTTTTGTGGCTTCTGGTAGACACAGAAGTTAACCAAGTACTTTACTGCTATATAGCTATTTTATGAAGCTGTATAATCTAGCTCTATAATCTATAATCTAGCTGTATAATATATGTATATCTGAAGCTGTATAGCTATTTTATGAAGTTACTACTTGTGTACTTTAATTTACCAAGAGTAAGTTACTTTAACAGTTTTAAAACCACTTGTTGCCTCGTGGAATTCTTTTGTTTGCAACTTTGTTGCGCTTTTG